AAGACTTGCTGGCATTGATGGCGTCCGATCAGGGAGCTGATTCCCGGATGGTAAGCAGCGTCACATGCCGCTACACTTGTTCCGACCTATCATGTAATGTTCAATTAATGCTTTTTGTCTAATGCTTGATCTGCTGGCGTATCTGTGTCATCATTCTTTGGCTTCGATTGCCAACACTTTTTTCGCCGTGCACCCTTTTTTTACCACTTCTCGAAGAGGCGCCTTCCGTAGCATTGAGCACAAGGCCGATAACAGACGACGATCCGACCAACTCGCTCGCGCTCGCGGTCGCGTCGCATGGTAGCTGTGAATCGCTCGACTCGCAAAGTCTGACATCGGCCGTAAGGAGTGTAAATTGCCGTGTATTACTTTTCGAAAAATCAAAATTCTGAATGTACTATAGATCTTGATTCAGGGAGATATCATAAAGGCATGAAGCATTTGCCGTTGATCAATCCCTTTTTGGGATGCGGCACGCATTCTACTTCCATTTGTACATTCGTAGTGGCGTTTGAATGCGATGTGGCCTATACAATGTACAAGTCAGTGTTTTTATCCTCCCAGACAAGTCTGGTACCAATTAACCGACCCCGGAGGGATGGAAGGCTTGGTTGGCCCGGGCGACTCACGACCCAGGATTTGATCCCCGGACCGCTCGCGTGGTGAGCGCGCCACTTGCCACTACACCACTTCCGCCCTCAAAGTAATAAAAGTAATATGAAAAAATATATCGAAACGGCTCACCTGTATCGCCTACTCAGAGTTATGAGCGAGCCATTATCACAGGCTCGTAACTGCGAACTCATTCGCAGGGAAGCAAGCTCAAACTGTAATGAGAAAATGTTGATTAACTGCTAACGAAGTGTTGATGGAAGTTTAGACAAACGCATGCGCTTATTGGGGTAGTTCACCAAGTTTCTCCCAACGACTCCACACTTCCTCCGCCCAGTGGTTTCTAGAAGCTCACAACTTCACAGGACATTTCTTCAAGCGCCTCCGTTTCAGAACACTTGCAGTAGCTACAGGGTTATGCCCATAGCTACTGGCACTTTCTCCTAGAGTCAGCGGTCGCGTTGGAGCGATTTGAAAGCTTATACGATCTCTCTCCCCTCCGCTACACGACCTCACCGAAGGGAGTCTAGAGCCAAGTACATATAATGAAACACTCAAACACCGCTCCCGGCGGAGAGGGGGACGGGGAGATTTTATGTACCTTCCCTGATTTGTGTGAAATTTGTAAATACACAATATACGACCCTCCCACCCGCTCTTCCTCCCCCTCCTCACATGCTTCGAAAACATGGACTACTAACCCTACTTCTTCAAAACAAGACGTGCTGAAAAAAATTATCGTAACCGATGTCTCCAGAGGATGCGCTGATGGTTAATATCAATTGCTTTGCAAATCGAAGGACTGACAAAAGACAGACCACAAGCAGATTATATTGCAATACATGAAAGTTATGAAAATTTTCATAAATAAAAAGCAGAAGGCTAAAAAATGAAACTCCCAGAGGCTCCGCTTTGCCAGCATTGGTCACTTACCACATTGACTCCGCTGCTGTTGAGCTGCCACTGATTGATTCGATCCATACTCCTGCCCTGTAAGAGGTATTCGAAAATGTAACACCCCAGACACCTCACCATGAATGAATGCGCTTAGTTTGATTTATGAGGCTGAGTAGCTTCAGTTTTCCATTTATAATCGAGAGCGTATCTAAAAGGCAGGTGGCGTCAAATCGAATGTTGAAGTGAGGGAATGCGTGTTTCATAAGATCGCTTCGCTACGTATGTAGGAAGTCTTTCAGGTCGTGCCTCATTTAAAAAAAAAACAGCTTTGTGCTTGGTGTGGGGGCACATGCATGAAGCACAGGGCTGTGGTTCAATTTCCAAAGCGTCTTCTTTCTGAATGCTAAAAAGGATCGAAAAAGCTCAGACGCTACACCTTTGACGCTAGCCTTCAGTAGATCTACCCTTATGGGTTATGAAAGTCAGAACCTATTTTGATTTGAACTATCAGTCAACGAGATGAGGAAAACCAGGGATGTTTTTCGGCCATGTGTCCCCTTCTTTTCCTAGATCAGTTATTCACGCTATGTAAGGACACGTGCTGGAATATGAAACTATGCTTTCCTTTCATTGAGCGGTCCCCTGAACGCCAAAAAGACGAAAGATTGATTTCATGGTTCATGGCAGGTGGTGGCAAAGTTTGCATTCCCGTCTAGCGATTGCCTTATGTCGCGAAATGGTACTTGCGTCTAGTAATGGAAGTCTTGTCGCCAAGGTTTAGTACATTGTATAATTTCTGCAAATTATCATATAGGTCAAATCTTTGCATCTGAAAGTCGCAATAGCAATATGGACTGAATGTCGAGTGCGTGGCGCACACAATATGGTGCTACAATCGACCAAAGTAGGTATGGACATGTGACAGTTGTCCAAATGAGATGATTACTTACCGAGTTCTCTCCAAAACCAACACCGGTGTACTCATTCACGGACACATTGGAGTTTTCAAGTTTGAAAAGCACATTGTCGCCGAGAACAAGCCACCGCAATGAGTAGCCGCTTGGATGAGTATAAACGCATGCCGAATGAACGACATCGCTGTAGCTCAGCACTAAAACATCTCATTTACGAACTGAACTCGGAGGCGGTGTGTTATTAGGAGAGGTGTTTTTTCGAATAGTTAAGAGATTGGAGGCCGCGCGTGTTTTACGTTTTGCGGCCGCATGGCAGGTCAATAAAAATTGAATCTTATCAAACAGGAAGGGAGAAAAATCTTAGTGTGAACTAGGGTACAAGGTCCCAGGCGATCGAAAGACGGTACAGTTAATTATTATATTATTACATTATATTATTATATTATTAATTATTATACGTATAGCGAATCAAGCTTGATTCAAGTATCGTTCTGCCGTCATTTTTCACCTATCAGCCAATTTAGAGCAAATTGTCGGAAACCTTCGATCTCCTTATCACGTAATAATTTGAAACCTCTCTACGATGGCATGGTAGGGCGATGAAGCTACGCCTAACAGTCCGAAGTTTGCGCTGTAGCAAGGCTAAATTCGGCTATAGCAAAGAGCTGAGGTTAGCGCTGGAAAGAGCCAACCTCTGACGAACTCTTTTTAATGGAAGGCGGTAAAAAAGTAATGTAAACATACGTGTGAAAAGCACAAGAGTTGAGATTGACATCACTGTGATGTTACTCGAGCAACGTGTGCGCTCTGTCACTCTAACACTTGAAGAGAACCGGCTTTCGGTGTTTGGCATCGGGGAGGGGTGCCGTATGCACACGGGATGAGTCGTCCCAGTCAAAAGTCAACCGAAGATAATTTGAACCCAACACAAACAGACTTATTTCAACATATTGTTACGTATGGAAGGTAACTCTAAATTCTTCATCCATACTGTGGAGTAAGGGGGCGGGCAAAAGAAGCCATTTTGCCTATGGCTTACATCAGAAACTTCGTCGCAAAAAGTCCCATCGATGAAATTTCAATAGAAAATATTCCAGAATGTCTTCCCACCTCCCTCTTTCTAACAAACAAGCAAAAGCACGCCCTTCCTTCACTGCTCTCGCGCACATTAGAATAGGCATAACTGCCACCGCCCTCCAGCTCAGACGGCCTCCGAATGCCAACTCAACCTAAGCGCTCACATATTTCTTCAGCCGGATATCTAGCTGATAGCTTCTTGGTCAACGTCCAATTCCATTAATGCATGATCATAAAGCTTAAAGGAAGTGGTCACGATAATTTTCATGGGAACGATAAGGGAAGCTGTTGGAAATCCTGCCGCATGTTACAACACTGAAGTTTCAGTGCAGTGAGCGCCTTACGAAGCGGAGGATAAAGCGTCGTAGCAAAAAAAGGCTTGTCGATGGGAAAGTGCGATAAGAGCGTGCTAGATATGATACCGTTATCGTTATCGTCCCGTTTTCATTCTGAAGTGCACCTCTTATCAAGCAGCCGCACCTCCTTATCTCGTCGTATCATATCTTCCATGAGCTTACACTCGTCACAACTACTGCCTCACACCTACGATTGATAATGCGCAGGTAGCAAATCCAGCGTGGAAGCCAGCGTAACCGCTTCCTTCAAGGCTACAGTCATTTTCTGTATATTGCCAAAGTCAAAATTTTGGCTGAAAAACTGCCTTTAGGGACAATTTTGGCCCATGTTGCACGAGAGTGGCGCCGCACAAAAGAGCCGTGTTCCCACGCAAGCAAAAGCACGTGCAAATCCGCATGTCGCAAAGGTTAAGAATCAAGGCGCACGCTAGACTGCTTTCAGTCAAAGACGATTTTCTCGACGAATACGCTGCGAACACCTCGTAATGCTGCTAACCAAAGACAGTGACTCCGCGCTCACACATGTTTACAATTAATGTTAAAAAATTAAATCCTAAAGATTCTACAACAGTAGACTGATCATGCCTAAAAAGAATCTCCCGACAACCAAAGATAACCTTTCTAAGAGACAGTACAGCTCCAACTACTGCAAAGACCTTCCTTCTACATTTAGATACGTCGTACTGGTTTGATATGCGTTACTACCTATAAGATTTATGGATTCCGTATTGATGTGAAGGACGGAAATGCCTCCTCGCATCTAGGTATACCTTGGCCGCGAAAAGAAATCCATCGGCGCCAAACACCACGGACACTGTGCGTCGAAAAATGCCGAATGTGCGCCATGGGCAAAATGCCTTGCCCCCCCCCGTATTGCACAGCCAGAACTGTCCGTAAGTGTTTGAGGTCTGAATGGAGAAGATAGCCATCCATTGATTCGCTACTTCAGAAATTCATGAGTAATGTTTCTCACCCACATCAGGCAGTAGGTATACGGATCAAAGTGGATGAATGTAAGGGAACCCACTGGAATCCTCTGCCATGGAGAATGTTAGTCAAGAACTCGAAGTACTGACTGGTGATCTATATAGCGTAACAAAGGATCACGAAAGGCAATTTCCTCCGATCGGATGATAGGCAGCTGAACGTTCTAGCAATCAAAACGAGAAGTCAAGGGCCGATGTGCACTGCCGCCTCCTACTGAAGTTGACAACAACCTTCCATGTAATGACATGTGCTAGGCAGCCAAACAAAAGCATTGTCGTTCAAACTCACAAGCACCTGCGAAAACGTGGGAACCGCCGGAGGTAGAGAAACGCAATCGAGAAGGCCTCAGGTGAAGTCACGGCCATGGTGGAACATACCCTGGACAGAGAAAAGTTGCGACGACTGATAAAGACAGCGGACCCTGCGACGCGCGCGACTAGCAAAGGAGAAAAATCAATGAACAGAATAATAGATACAATGACCGCCTTAAAGGAGGATTGCACGGAAAGAACGAAGGTCGAAGAAGGGAGAAATCGCCTAGTGGGGAGAGCGGTGAATCTCTTGAGGGTGCGGACAGACACGCAATCGGCATCGAAAGATTTGACCTCTGAGATCTAGCATGGCTCAAAGTTGGCGAGTTCGGCGATCTCCGCCCACCGATCGTCTGATCACTCGCCGTAGTACAATAGGTGGCGAGTGATTAGATAGCTGAGAGAGCGTAGGGTTGAAGAGGGCAAAGCGATGAGAGTCCATCAATGCTCAAATCAACGGACAAGGAAGGGGAAGGGGTCCCATTTCTCCGGTTCTGGGCCGTTTTTCGTGGTTTCGCTTTCTTTCTGGTACTACACCATCTCTACCTCAATTTGGAATGGGTTGCTTTTCCATCGTAAATTCGTCCTTAAAGCGAGAAATTACGATAAAATTTCTGTGCAGCATGGAAGAACGAGCAGCACTTCAAGCAGTAGCTAGAGCCCAAAGGAATCGAGATGTGGCCTTTTTGTGACTAAAGGTGCGCTCGTTGTAGCGCCCTGGGGCTGCCAATCCTTTCTGAGCTCCGCCTCCGCCTGTGCTCCGCCCCTCAGCAGATCGCTGTTCGATTATCATTCTGATAAGGTATGCCACTTCGAGCGCGTATCCAATTTTTTTCTCATGGAATGCTATATCAATCAAGGTATGATCTCTGGTGGTATGATGGCAGCTATGGTTTAACGAGTGCCGACGACCTCTTAGTTGGTTGCCAACTCGTCCATTATCGGAGGTCAACGGGCAGAGGAAGTGGTCCCATTTTGCGCGTTTTTGACGGATTTCTTTGCTTTTTTCGCTACTAGGGCATTATTCAGCATCTTCACTTCCACTATGAGCACAACAGAATCCTATCGCAATCTCTCGCTTTAACCCGTGAGGGTAGTACTGACTTGATGTTTGGGGTTTGTTTTAAGATCTCTTAGATAGGGAAAATCGTGTCGCTTAAAAACAGTTAGGTTTAAGGTGGTATATCCTAATCACGGCTCTTTTCTGCGGGGCCTACAATGGCCTATTTCATCACTTCATGACTCATTTTTGTGTTCCTACTCTTCAACACCTGGGACCATTTCAATCAGGTTGACTTCCCTGAAGGATCACGTGTTTGATCAAGCTCTTCGATGTCGATCAAGTTTGTTAAACAACAATCATCCAAAAATTTATTGATTTTTTCATGCACTCAAACATTTCACAGCAAAAATCATAATTTATTGATTCGTTGAGAAAGATTCTTGTTGGAAAAACCAGAACTTCACATTACATACTAACTGCTAAACATTCTAAAAAATAGTTTATTTAGCATTATATACACATTGCACATTGTTGTACGCCATTTGAACCTTACGAAAAGTCATCACCAAAAAGAGATATTTTAAAATACAAGTGATATTTTGAAAATGTTACATTTCAAAAATGATGAAAATTTAATTCAAAAACAAGTGATATAATAACAGGAATAATATATGATATATAATAATAAAAGTAGTCAAAACATAATGGTTTTAAAAACAATTTTTTCTAAAGGCACATTGTGCGATTAAATAGATTTGTGTAGTTGCGTCCGAAAATGGAAGTAGGTGCGGTGAAAGTCTGCCCCTCAAAGGAAGTCAAAAAAACTGTTAGAAGCCCTCAAAACAGAGCGCGCTGATTGTATGGGCGGGGTTTGCGCCTCGCCCCTATTGGCTGCTCATTAAACAGTCCCATCACTTTGCTGTGCCTTACAGTATTACACCAACAAAAAAGTTAATTAGTAAAATTACCTTCAGAGGGTCAACCCCGCCAAGGCGATCAGCGGGCAATGTGGTCTAACGACTCCTAGCTGCTTCTTTTCTAGTTATGTTTTATCACTGATGGACAAATGACCATTGGCCATAACTTGCCGAATTAATTTTTGAAAGCAATGAAAAACCTACGCAAACCTACGCAAGCGCAGAATGTGCCTTCAATTTCACGGCACATCCATAATAAACTGATTAATAAAAAATAATGATCGGAAAGAATCTATATACACATTGCACATCTCGTACCCCTGATTCAAGTCCTTTTCAGACTATCGATTTTTCGATGTAAGGCTAATAAAACCAACTATTTCATATATTATACATCTATATTATTTCAGAACTGACTTTACGAATAATTGAAACACATATTTGAACTATTTACACATTGCACATATTTGACTGCTTTGTAAATCATTTAATCTATTTGAAATAATCAAGCGCTCATTCCCTCCTCAGTACATGCATACAGTGTTTCTCGCGCAGGGTCTGGTGTAATTGCGGACACCGCAGCATGTGTGGCCACAGTCCACAACAATGGATTTTACTCCCGCTATCTGATGCTCGTGATGCTATATGATGTCACGTGGGTACCATATAATATGTGAATCTTAATGACCACTCCCTGCGCTGAAAAAGTTCACCAAAGTAGTACTTCAAATTAATTATTAATCTATTTTACTTGAACTACTACTTAGTATTTTGACTTTTTCTATTTGAACCAACACTTCTTCGTTTTTTGTTTTAACTGAAAAGTAATTTAGTAAAAATTTCTATACTGGGAAAAGCTTAAAAGGTGGGTTGCGCGTTATTTCGGACAAGAAAAAACCAGTCCCCGTTCTTTTTTCATTGAGCGCGGTGACCACTCGAAATGCCATCAACGCCTCGCAGACGCGACGTCGCGTGGTGACCTCTTGCGATATGCTCGACGTCCACTGCGAGTCGTCATTGTGAAAAGTCGCACATCTGTCGGCACACCGTCACACATCGCCTCCTTCATATGTGGAGAGAGACACAACACGTTTCCCTGAAGAAAAAACGAAAACAGGAAAAAAATATGAGAAAATGCAAAACCAAAACAACAGTTGTGTAAAAGGATACCAACCTGGCTATTCAATGTGCGTGAATTACCTGAGTTGGGATGTGACCATGAGGGCCAAACTTACCTTCCAATTTCTGGGAGGGAATAAAGATTCAAGAAGGAAGAAAAGAGGCGACCAAACCAGCTAGCGCTCTTCACCATACCCCAATCTATCCTACACTCAACAGTCGACAGTTCTGAGGTTTACCAAGCCACGGAGTAGCCTACCCTTCTAAAAATCATTAAACCTGAATGTAGTCAATCACCTGCACGCCATATAAAGCTAACTTAAACGGTCGTGAAGTGGCTTACGTTTGCGTAAAAATAAATCTGAGGACTTATTGTATTTCAGCCCCTCTTCGGATACATTAGGATAGGTGAAGAGGTGCGAAAAATTTGGTGGTTAAGTAGCATTTTTGGCACTGCTGCGGTAAATGACGGAAAGTCCCGTGTTACACACGTTAGCAGTGCATTGATTACCACATTTTTAGAGCCCACCGAATCTGCGTAAGATTAAATCAAAGCATTCTCAGTTCTCGTGGGCCACCGAATCCTTTGCTAGCCATAAACTTACCCTAGCAGATATTGCTACTTACGGCCGGCGTCACACTTTGCTAACCCAGAAAATCGTGGACCTGACGAACCGCGAGGTGCGACAGGTGCGCCAGCGGTTCGTGCGATGCGCTAGCGGTCAGGGAATTTGGGAATGGCTAATTTGGGATTACTCCGTCAACCTGCGATTCCCTGGGTTCGCTAAGTCTAACATCGACCTATGGAAGGAAACGGAACTGTTCGATCTATTATCTGATTTCCTTCCATTAATATCCCCTTCATGACAACCCCAGTTCCATATCCTAGGTGTCCATGGATCGAAAGGGTCCTCCAGTCCACTACTAGCACTCCTTCGGAAGCTTAATGATCCTAAAACCCTAGAATTTTCTCGAAGAATTCCACGTTTTGTGGTTTGAAGTGTTGGCTGAGACGACGGCAAACGCGACAGAATGCCGTCACCGTGGCCAGAAGACGTGCAAATGCCCTTGTCGTCCCTACGCCATCGCTGGCCTCGTCAACCAACGCGTGTAGCATCTCGTCCAGTCGAGCATGGGCATATGACACGACTTCCGTCTGAAAAGATGGTCTGATTTCACATTGTTAAATAAATCCCATTCTCCAAGCATATCTTCTGAAATGTAGCGTAAGCCACTGCCAGCCGTTAAAACCATTCCATATTATTTTGGTAGCTGCATGGACGATTATGGCGTTGTAGCAAAAGGCGTAGTTCATAAGACGTACAAAATCGCGGATCGAATCCCGTCTAGGCC